GGGGTCCTGTCCTGGAGGGCCGCCTGGGGAGGAGGGAAGCGGACGTGGGGGCGGCCACGGCAGGTGAGGGATAAGCGAGGCCCTGCGAGCGGGGGTGTGGTGTGTGGTGTGTATGGGGTGGCAGGGGAGTGTGTATGTAGTGTGAGCTGCTGTCCCAGTCGGTGTGACTTTGTGAGTGGGCCGATCCTTGTGACCGTGCACGTGATCACATGTCCGTGTGTGTGTGTGTGTGTGTGTGTGTGTGTGAGAGAGAGAGAGAGAGAGAGAGAGAGAGAGAGAGAGACTGAGCACAAGTCTGAGTTCGTGGGGGTGGTCGGCGTGCGGTGGCCCTGCCTTTGTGTGGCTGTCACCGGTGGGCCTGGGAGAAGACGGGGGTCCGTGTGGAGGTCGTCCAGGGTGAGGGTGGGGCGGTTGACAGGGCACCCTCCTGAAATCCCCTCCTAGGCTCGCTGCTGCAGCCCGGGAACGTGTTTTCCTGTAAACTTTTAAGAACTCTGAGCAGAGACCAGTTAGATCGGGCCTCAGCCTGAAAGTGACAGGTGCCTTTGTCATTGCTGAGTAGGGCCAGGTGTGAGACTGGTGACTGGGGGCTGAGAGAGTGTCTCTCTTTTCCTCTCATTTTCCTGGGGAGTGGTGAGTTCTTGCTTCTCCACCTACAATGTTGCAGCTCCTGTTAGCACAAAGGAGTAACTTAATAGCTGTGTGCAACTTTCCAAAAGCTTTTATACTGAGACAGGACAAGATGAGGTGTCACAGAAGAAATGTCAAGTAGGCAACTTTTCCTCCCATGAGGGTTAGAAGATAATGAAAGAGAGAGAGATAAGTCTTCCCCTGTAGATATCTTTAAAAAGATAGCTATTTATTTGCTTTAAAAGCCAATTGCATCTCCTGGAGACTCTCAGGTTCAGTATTTTGTTATTGTGGTGTTAATAACAATCCTAGGTTGTGCATATCTAGATCAACTACAGATTGAGATAAAGGTTCAGAAAACCTCTGAGTAGTCAAGCTAGTTATGTGACAGACATTGGTAAAGGTGATTTCGTTGACTGTAAACTGGCAGGTTCTGCTGAAACTGAGCCATAAATGCTGGTGATTCTCGGTGCACACTCACAACTGGCAGTTTTACTGACAAGCAGCACCAGGGAGGACCAGGTGGCCAAAGCTCTCCCCGGGGGAGGGGCTTCCTTGGGCAAGAATAAGGCTGATCTCTGCGGCCCTTTCCCTGCCAGCATGAACAGGTGCTTTTGTTTCGGTGAAGAATTGACTTGTGAGAGATCAGATCAGTGTTGAGCTCGTGGTCCACATTCTTTCTTTTTTTAATACCGACCAGTTTGGTCACAATCTCAGTTAACCTTTCTTGCCATATACGGAATGTTCTTCTTGTGACTTGGAAAAGTACACCCCTTTAGTGAATGAAAGAGAGTTGGGAGAACAAACTTCCTTTTCATGCTGCTCACAGCTGTTTTCCCTTTGCAGCATGAGCTTTTTTTTTCTACTTAGATGTCAGTTGGTCATATGCAGCATTTGCTATCTGTCTTACCTTTCATGTACTGCCAAACTAGCACAAGTGTTAAAATCACTTGCCTCTACAAAAATGTAGTCACAGGACTCTCTCCAGCAAGGTTAGTTATAAAATGTTAGGATGCTGGGGTGGTTGTGAATAATACTGAGGACTGTGGTAAGGAATATCTTTCTATTTATTGCTATGGGAAGAAGTGGATGACAGTGAATGTATGTGCCTGTGTATAGTAGTTTGGTTAGTCCATTGCAGTTGATTGCAAACTGTGAATAATTTGTTTTATGCCAAGTTTGGTAAATCTAGAAGGAAGCTTTCTGCTTTTAATTAGCTAAGGTGTTTTATAAATCTATTGGGTAGATTTTTTTTTTTTTGCTAACCATGTTTTTGATGTTTTCTTCTTTAAAATGGTAATTGTTTATAGTAATGCAATAATAAAAAATGTCTCTGTTAGGAGCTATTTATATGATATAGGAATATTTCAAGTCTGTCCAGGTTGGAAATATTCCAGAATTAACTATCTATGCTAGCTGCTTTCAATTAAAATGGTAAGCAGCTTAGAGAAAGGCTATAGTTCAAATTAAGATTTTTAACATGTTAATATTTAAGAGAAAATAGATATGCAAAGAATGATTTTCTTTATTTCAGTATGAATAAAAACTATATGTGTGCACAGTGATTTTCAGGATAAGACTGGCTAATGATTTTCTTGGTACTTTAGAGCAATTTATAATTTTAACAAATTTTTCTAAAAGTACCATCTTAACATTGAGAGAAGAGACCATTATTATAATGTCAAGGTTGTAAATCAAGTTTAATATTGGATGTCTACATTTACCATTTCCTTGGGGTTCAATTTAGTAATCCCTCAAGGTTAGAGATAGCAGTTGAGACTGCTGAGTGCCCTGTGTGACTGAGGGAAAAGATGTGGCGATCCAAGGAGGAAGAGCTCCATTGGTTTTATTTATTTATTTTTAATATATTTTTTTATTGATTTCCGAGAGGAAGGGAGAGGGGGAGAGATATAAAAACATCAATGATGAGAGAAAAGCATTGATCAGCTGCCTCCTGCAAGCCCCACTCTGGGGATCGAGCCAGTGACCCAGACATGTGCCCTGACCAGGAATTGAACTGTGACCTGGTTCATAGGTTGAAGCTCAACCACTGAGTCATGCCCGCTGGGCGAGCTCCTTTGGTTTTAGAATCCCCTGCCTCTGGTCAGTCCAGAGAAGCCCCTTTAAAATGACAGCTCAGAGTCAGCCCAGAAATTAAATCCTAAGATCCCAAGCTCATCCTAGCCCTCCTAGGAAATCCAGGCTTGCCCTGAGGTAGAGGACAGGGTACATTGTAGGTGTTTGAATCCTTCGAAACCAATGGGTGGAAGTTCCCTGTTTGGCAGTAAGAATCTACAACAGGGAACTAATAATTTCAGGTTCCTGTTATTACATAACACGCATACCTGAGCAAAGAGACCAGCCTTTAAATGGAAGATGCTCAGCCAGTTCAACACCCATAGTTGCCCAAGTTAGAAGGGACTCTAGGGTTGCCTAGTTCAGTCTCCTTAGGACATAGTCATTCGTCAACAGATGATGCCTGCTGTGTGCCAAGCACTGTTCTAGTTGTTGGAGATACCATGGTGAAACAGCCATAGGTGAGAAAACTAGCCCAAAGAGGGTCAGTGACTGTTCTAAGGTCACAGAACTATAAAAGCTAGAGATCACTAATCCCACAACAAAAGACCACACATTTTTTCGTAAAGGCACATGTTTTGTTTGGTTGCTAGTTCTAGTGCCTTCAAGCCTACCCTCATGTATTATCATAGATCTTTGGAGGATATTAGATCATTTTTAATCACACTAATATGAACAGCAATTTTTCTATATTTTGCATTAAGAGCTACATGTGAGGTTCTGAAGTTATGTTCCACTACAGTTAGTTAGATTTGTGGTATTTGGTGAATTGATCAGGAAGCAGGCTTATTAGTACATTAACTCCTTTCTTTAGTGTGGACTATTCCCTATAATTCTATCAGACAGAAACATCTTTACTAAGATGGATTTAATAAGATATTGTCAAAAGAGAGGGGGTGGCACTGCACTTTGGAATCATTTAACTAGGACAGGCAGTCTGGTGTCAGAAAAGACTGTCCTGCATCTGGTCCTGGCTCTGAATTAGCCATGGCCTCTCCGGTAAGGCGTTTACATTTTCTAGACCAGATTTCTCTTTCGAAAGAACTAGAGGTGTGAATAATTATCTCTCAAAGCCCCTTCCTGCTCTATGATGCTAGCATTTCACCAAATTGTTTTTTGTGCTTTAAGTATATGTCAGCAAGTTAAAAATAGCCCATTTCCTCCGTTTTACCCTTTAAAGTATGCATTGTTGGTATAGCTAGACCAAACTGTACATTTAGTTCTGATGTGAACATGAATTCTTGACATGAAACATCACATGCTTTTATTTCAGGGTTAACCTCCATTTCAGCTAATCATGGGAGAGATTAAAGTCTCTCCTGATTATAACTGGTTTAGAAGTACAGTTCCCCTTAAAAAGGTATGTATGGTTTTACTACACTTCTTATTTCCAAAATCTTACATTGTTTTTGTGTGTGATTTAGATGTTATGTCTTATAGTGTTTGAGAGTAAAGGTTATTGCCAAGTATCATGACTTTGGGTTTCAGAGCATAAAGTTTGCCCCTTCTCTGTCAAGTACAGTCAACTTTTGAGGCTCATTCAAGAGTAAAAATGAATATAAATATACTCATTATTTTATAATTACTTTTACATATTCAAGCAAGCAAGAATATGAGTACTCCTTAGTGTAGTTTAGTGGAAAACTTACAGCAATAGCAACTATACAGTAAGGGCAGTCAGATTCTATTATAAAGCATTTTTCTGTTCCTCAGATTTAAGATTCACAGTGGGTTACATAAGAGATCCTCTGTTAGCAATGATTTACTCACTCTGCCATGGTCATCTTCTGGAAACCTTATTTCCCTGCGATGTCCAAAAGCACCAAACGCTTATTTTGAAATTTCACTATTGACTCTGAGTCCCAGATTAATCCTAAATATTTTGGGATCATACTAGACAAAGGCTGTTCACGTCACAGGATAAAATCTTTGCTTATCCCCTTGCAAAAGTATTAAAAGTACTATGAAAAAAAAAAAAGAGTACTATGATCTGACGATCATCTATGTCTCTGTTATTTTGTCAAGGTAGACAGCTGTGGAAGTATCATGCAAATTTGAGTTAATAACAAAATTACTCTCCATATAAAAATTTGAGATACAGTTTTCCAAGTATAGACAGAATACCTGCTATATACCTGGCACTGTTGTAGGAAGTCCCCAGATAGCATATTTAATTCTTTTCAATAGTTTAACAAAGTTGGTAGTGGTGTGCCCATTTTATAGATGAGAAAACTGAGATTCACAGTGGTTAGCTTGTTCAAGGTTGCCCAAGTTCGAAGGGATTCTAGGATTGTCTACTTCAGTCTCCTTAGGACATAGTCACTCATTTAGTCAACAGATCATGCCTGCTATGTGCCAAGCACTGTTCTAGGCTAATAGGTTTGGGATTAAAATCAAATTAATCTGACTTCAAAGCTAGAAGTACTTGGCTGCTTACCAAAGGGAGCTCCCTTTCTTCTTGCTGCCGGGAAACCACTGCCCGCGCTGAAAGGAGAATTGGCCTCTGGAGTCCCTCTACTTCGTCCCATCCCTCAGCTTAACTCACGTGAGCTCCTCCTGATGGACTCACTTAACAAGCCGATCACCAGACCCAGGACAACCCACACCTATCTAAATAGTCTAAGAAGCAGTTATAGGAAGTTGTTTTATTGATGTGATTTTCTGCAGTTGTCAGGTGATTTGGCCCACAAAATTCATGATAAACTTGCTTGATACATTTTGTGGTGCTAGATTACAAATTATCAAGCAGATATTGTGACTTCTAAAGGCATTCTGACAAAATTGCCATTCAGAGAACTCTGAGGAAGTTGAAGGGATAAACAACCTTTGTATTTATGGCTTATATTTAGAACATACTATGTCAGTTATATCTCAATAAAACTGGGGATGGGAAGGGGGAGAGACATAAAAAAGAACATGCTATTTTTTGTTATTTTTTTTCCAAATCGGATTATTGAAATAATTTTCTAGAAAACTTTAGAGATCTTTTCTCACATGAATTTTATTACTACAAGATTGAGATTTACTGTGTGCACTGTCAAAGCCATTGATAGATTTTTACCACAATTTCAGCAAAAAGGCATGAAAAGCAAAAATGTGAGCAATAAAATACATAGGACACAAACATGAATGTGAGATGCTGTTGTGACCACCTGTGGCCTGGGCAAGTCCAGAAGGGAATTGTCAGGGCTCTCTGGACTTTGCCTCGCGCTGTTTTCTGCTCTTGGTAACATCAGTGACCATGGTCAGGGTGTTGCCACCCAGAGTGACACCATGGGGTTCACAGCACTGCCAGCTGGGAGATCTCAGAAAATAGGACCTGGAGGCCTTGAACTTTTTAATGTGAAATTAGGAGGAATATTGATTTGCATGGGCAAAAGTTCAAACCATTAATGTACTTTTCCAAATACCACCAAAAGTCAAAGAAAACAAAAATTAAACTAATACGCAATGAATGATACTAATCGCTAACACTGATTGAACTCTGAGCATCTGCCAAACTCTGTGCTGAGCACTTGAATAATCTCAGCTCACTTAACGCTCATCGTTTCCCCTGTTGGGTCAAGAACCATTAAATCAGGAGGGTTTCTGAAGACCTTCCTCCTTC